CACAGAGCCATAGTTCACTGACAAGCTACGCAAACAGCTTTCTTAATGCTCGATTAAATCGTCTGCGATTATGAATGCGATTTTGCGTAGCTTGTCAGTGAACTACGCCTCTGTGTAGTAAACGCTGCTCCATCTGAAAGCAGGTGCTGGAGATTTACTACTAATCACAGAACCGGTGTACCGACGAAACATGCTACCTATCATATTGTGCTACCAAAAATATATTTACATTATTTTAAGGGTAAGTTTAGGGTAAGGGTAGGTGTGGATGGGTAGGGTTAGGGTAGGGGTAGGTATGGACATTAAAAAAGCCTCAAACCACATGAATAAGATGCTGGTAGCACAATCTGATAGGTAGCATTTTTCGCTATCGATTTGTGCTACCTATCTTTTTAATGGGAGGTAGCACAATCTGAGCGGGTAGCACAAATCGTCAGAACACCGGCTTTACTGACAAGATGCGCATGACAATCATATTCGATTAATCGTGCAGCCCTAATTCTGCTAATTTCTCACAATTATGAGAAAAGTCACAATTGTGAGATATAAACTCAGTTGCAACAAAAAAGTTAGAATGAGATTAAAAATTCACAATTACCCTTTTTTTTATTCTGTGGCAGAAACAAGCTTCCAAACTGACAAATAATAATGATTCAAAACATTTGTGAAGAGAATAAATAGGGTTGATTTTGTTCTCAAAGAACTGTAAAATGGAGTATGTTTTGTTCTTCTAAAAACCATTGAAATCTATTGTATAAAACAGTTGTTAAGTTTAATAACGTGAAGTTAATGAGCTGTGTACTAGTTTAGCTGAAGCCTTTTATGACTCGCTGACACCTGCTAGTTACACCTGTCAGATCAACCATTTTTGACTCTATTGATTGTCTTTTGACTAGATTGTCTGCATTATGAGACCAGAGCGCATATATCTGTCTCAGGATGGTAGTTTGATTTGATTTTAGCATGTGCATTGCTAATGAGTTGTTTCGTTTATTGCAAGTCAGTCTGAGAATTGAATGGAGCACGGCAAACTCTGAGCGTTCAGACAACTAATGAATAAATTGATGATCTCTTATGAAATGAAACCCACACAAGTGTATTCAGGATGCAACCTAAATCTGTTTTCCAGAGGAGACACACTGAATACTGAACGCATTAAAAAGTTCTCGAGCGCATAATGAATGAGTCTCTAATGCATCTGAATCTGTGTGTCGATGCAATTTGCTGCAGAATGTGAGCTGTTTACTCTTAGTAATCTTGTTTGGGATCATAAAAGTCTTCATTATGTTTCCTAATGTCTCCCATAGGTTCAGAAAAATAAGTACAGACTTCTAAAATAATTTGCAGTAAGATGTGAGTGCTTGGAGCAGCACAGCTTTAGAGTTATATATTATATGATTATATCTCTTATAATATATTTTTTGCGCTGTTTAATTTTAATTCAGAGATGCTATAGCTATTGTAGTGATGCACTGAAAATCGACATCTGAAAATATTTGGCAGAAATGTAATTTTTGGATTCGATAGAGATAAAAAAATAAAAGTATTTGCTAAATATATGCACTGTATTACATATTCATTATATTGTTACTTAACCTGTTGCTGTGGTTACTTCATATGTTTAAATAAATCTGTCTTTTTTTACAGCAACTATTTTAATGTTTGTAATTAAATGACAAATAGAAACATAATTACATACTTTAAAAAGTTGATATAAAAATGTCACTTATTTGCAATTTAAATGTCTATGTGCAACTGTTTTTATTTAAGTGTTGATTATTAAAAACAAATTGAGTAATTCATTGATTGTTAAACACTTTTTTTCAGTTTCTTTAGAGAAAAATAGTAGCCTCGGCAACTAAAAATAAATTTTGGTGCGTCGCTTGTATTCATAATTGTTCTGTTTTCATTTTAATTGTAGTTTAAATTTTTGTAATTTTGTTTTGTGTTTTTGTCAGTTTTGTGCATTAAAATTATTTCATGTTTATTATTATTATTATAATTTTTTTGTTCTTTTTGGTTTTAGAAAAAAATAGTAGGCTATTGTTGTCTTGGCAACTAACTAAAAATGTATTTTGGTGTATCTATATTCATCATTTTAAATTTTAGTTTAAATTTTAGTTACTTTGTTCTGTGTTTTTGTTGGTTTTATGCATTTAAGAAATGCATATATTTCTATTTATTGTTCCTTATTGTTTTTATTTTATTTTTTAGTTTAGGTATTTTCAGTTTTAGTTAAAGAAATTAAAATTAAAAAATGTCACCTTGGCAACTCACTAAAAATTCATTTTGGTGCATCACTAATATTCATAATCTATATTCAGCAAAATCATTGCATGCTTCACACATTCCACTTCAAATAAGTCAGCATGTCATTATTAAACACATAAATGAGTATTTACAGACATTTGTTTATTGACATTCAGTAATACAGTCATTTCCACAGATGTTGTTTGTGCAGAGCCACACGCATATGATGCATTTCCACTTCTCTTAACTGCGTTAATACTCTGTGTGTGTGTGTGTGTGTGTGTGTGTGGCCGTTTTGCCCTCAG